CAAGCTGCAAACTGGATGACAGCAGGACCCTGCCTGTCTTGTCAGTGGTACCCTTAGCACGCAATACTCCTGGTCCAGAACAGGGTGCTAGTTCCTGTCTGTGGAACACAGATTCACCCACTTCCCCATAGACTCAGGGGACCATGGCCTGATGACAAAGCAGGCAAATTTGCCCAGGGAAATCAGGACGTATTACAAAATTACAAGGAACTGTGTGCTCACGCCTGTAATCCTAGCTACTTGGGAGGTTGAGATTGAGAGGATAAGCAGTTCAGGGCCAGCCTGGGCAAATAGTTGGAAAGACTCCATCTCCAAAATAACCACAACAAAAAACAGACAAGTGGTACAGTACCTGCTTTGCAAGTGTGAAGCCCCGAGTTCAAACCCCAGTCCCACCAAAAAATAGTTATAAGGAAGTATTTTTCAGATTATGTGTGTTGGGAGAGAGGATTGGTGGAAATTGGTATGTACAGAATTCCTGGCTGACCCAGGTCATTTCTGAGTCTAGGTCTTACTGCTCATCAGGCTTAGGGGCCCTTGGCGGGGGGCAGGGGGGCTTACCTTGTCCCTGTGTTTCCCCTCTCCCCAGGAGGACTTGGTCCAGTGGCTGAGGCAAAGAACTCAGGGGTATTTCAAAGTTGTCCTCCAAAGGCCTCACATCCACAGCAGAACACAAAGTTTTTGTTAAGAGAGCAGCAGGCTGCAGAGGCAGGAGGGTTTGCTCTGGCCTAAGCCAAGGTCCAAGAGCCAGGGTGGGAGGTGCACAACTCACATAGACTGGCTTTGTGTGTGTGTGTGTGGGGGGTGTCTTCATACCCATCTACCACCCACTGATCACGTGCTTACTGTGAGCCAATACTAGGCTAAGTGCTTCCTTCACGTGTAATCTCCTTTAATTTTCACAAGAGATGCAGAGGTGACATGACTCACTGGGTGATATGAGTCACCACCAGGACACCTAACTGGTAACGGATGGAACCAAGTTACCGTCTGTGACTACAGGCAGGCTCTTAGCCACTGCCTTTCAGTTTCGGTGCTCTACTCTGTGATGTGGGGTACTGGGAGAGAAGGAGCATGAAAAGGCGTGTTCATGGAGAGATGTTATTTCCAGGAAACAGGGGCTCAGAACAAGAAGGTCCAGCCTACACATGGCTGAGGGAGAGGCAAGGCATAGGATGGTAGGGAGGATAGCCTCAGAGACGGAAGAAGAGCTGGAGCCCAGAAGAGGCAGGGCAGGACTGGCTGAGTCCTGACATGAGGCCTCTCGCTCAGAGCCAGAGGCAAGATCAAGTGACCTCTCAAGGATTCAGGACTCAGAGAGACAAAGCCCAGAGCAGCCAGGCCTGGCCCAGGCCTGGACATGCCTGTTGACCCTGGCTGGATGGTGGCCTTGGAAACTGTTTCCTGCTCTGGTTAGGTCCCAGCTGGTGTAACCTTGGAGGACCTGTGACATTTCTCTTGGCCTCAGTTCCAGGCCTGAAAGGGAGTAGGGAGGGGAGAGGGACTAGAGATTCCTGAACACCTTAAAGGCCCTTTCTACCTTCACGTCCCTGTCCCCAGGATCCCAACATGGAGCCAGTCTGTCTGGCTCTGCTTTTCATCTAGGAGACCAGAGAAAATGTCTGCATGGTCCCAAGGCTCTCTTCTCATGACCAGTCCCCATCTCTATCCTGTCAGTCACAGCTTTGAGGACAGCCATGCCCTATATTCCCTACTCTCTCCTCTGACCTTTCGTCTTCTAACTGGCACTGGGATGTGACTTGCCTTTGCCCATAGTTCCCACTGCCAGAGTACTCTTCCCTGTCTTCCAATCTTGCCTGTTCTTCAAGGTCAAGCTCAAGTGCAGCTTCTTGTACAGATCCACAAAATCCACTTAAAATACCAGACCCAAAAAGAACCATAGGGCTCATCCAATTTGACCTGTCATTTTGCAGACAGGAAACCAGGGACGTGGGGTTGAGAAGGGTGACTGTGTGGCAGGCTCTGAAGGGGCAAGAGTATGTTCCAAATCTGGCTCCACCATTTACTAACTACAGATCCCCTGGGCAAGGTTCCCAGTCTCTCCATTTCCTTACCTCTTTAATGGAGGCAGGGAGCACAACACTGCTGGTTACTGTGAGGGGTCTGTGGGGGGTGTCATACAAAGAGCCCAGCACAAATAAGTGTCCTTTTTCTCAGCTAGAGGGCAAAGGATAACTTCTGACCACAATATTCAGTGCCTAGTGCACAGTCCTTGTTTCTACCTACCTCTGGGCACCTGCCACTTCCTACCAGGTGTTTCTAGGTCCTTTGTATACTTGGGGTGGATGTTAACTCTAGGACAGGGGCCGTGTCTGCTTTGTCTCCCCAGCACCTGGCATTGAATGAGCAGGGAGGCTTAAGATGTGTGGCTAAACTGAACTACTGCTTTCCCAGTGCTCTGTGTCAAAGCTTCTCACTGCCTGTTGGTGACTGAGCATGTCATTGTCTTCTCTGTTTAAGACTTCTGTTGACAATGTGACTCCTGCTATAAATTCTCCTTTCTCACCACTCTCTTTCCCATATCCCCCACCCTTTCTCACTTCCACCATGATTTTAACTAGTCCCTGACACCAGAAGATTGCCCTAGACAGGAGAGCTTGTGCAACATCTTAGCTTAAGAAAGTAAGGCCACCTTGGCCCAAGCCACCATCTCTGGGATGTGACTTGTCTGAAGCACTGCAGGTGGTCTCCCTAGTTCAATGCTTGCCCTGTTCCACAGTGCCCCTGCCATTTCAGCTGAGAACCCCTTCTTCACTGGCTCCCCATGTGTCTTGGAATAATTCAAACTCCTTGCAGTGCCCTGCTCGATCTGATCCTGCCTGTTTCATCCTTACTTAATTTTACTGCCTTCCCAGCAGTTCCTTAGAACAAAGTCCCTTCCTGCCTCAAGGCTGTACACATTGCTGTTCCCTCTGCCCAGAAAGCTGGTCTAGCTGTCTAGCCCCCTCAAACTGTGGGCAGCAGCTGCAAGGTCTGTGCAGCCTGTTGCAGCCCCACAGCCCTCTAGCTTCTTTTCTCTTACATTGTCCTTCCCATGGCTGTAACTACCAAATGCTCTGTGTTGCTGTGTTTACTGACTTTCCCCTTAAACTGGAAACTCCCTGAAGACCAAGTGTTTCATCTATGGTATTCACCGTAGTGCCCCCAACGCCTGGCACGTACGGGGTGTCACACAGATGTCTCTGGAACAACTGTAAACACTGGTTTGAGGACAGTGCTGTTAATTCCCAGCCCTAGGTGGGGAACAGGGCCAGAATGTGAGGCTGGATGCCATCCCAGTTCCTCCTGTGTTAAGGCCTCACTGGGTGGTTCCATTATGTATTGCACTGAGCTGTGACCTGCCCAAACACCCAGCCCCCACACCCGTTCATTTTCCCACCCAGAGTCTGGGAGGAACGGTTTTTGGATTATTCACATTTCTGGATTATCCATGAGAGATCTTCTCTCCAGTGAGAAGGATCAAGAGTTTGACATTTTAAACCCTAAGCAGCTTCTCCCTGGCCTGCTTCAGATCTGCGGCTCCGCTGCTTGCAATGAGACACATGGGGAATGGAAGGCCATTTTAAATATCTTGGCCTGGCTTCATTAGGAAGGAAAATCTGCTGCCAAAAGGAAAAAAAAAAAAAAAGAAAAAAAAAGTTTGGTACATTGTTTCTGCCATACAGAGGTGCAAGAGCCTAAGAGATCACTGAAGTCAATTTCCTTGAAAAGATGGGAAAACAGAGGCCAGAGAGGGGCAAAAGCTTGGTCACAACCATATGTAGCAAGTAGGTAGTCAATGGGAGACTGGTCTTCCCCCAGGCTGCTATTGGCTCTCACGTGCTGCTCTTTGCCACCCTTAGGCACCAGGGCAGCTGGGGTCTGGCAGAGAGGGGGATATAAGCTTCCACTGACTTTATGTTAGGACCCTGAGTCACCCTGGCCTCAAATGGCCTCCCCTAAACAGAGCTGGGGCTTTTTTGGAGGCCCACTAGTCCATCTCTAGGAAGAGAAACTCCTAGGAGGCTTTGGGGCAGCAGAGGTGAAGAATGGGCCAGTGCACCCCATCGTCCATTACCATGTCTGGGTCAATTTTGAGACAGATCTGTTGTCCAAAAGTGGAGCCAATGTGGCTGTATTCTGGAACAGGTTGTTCTTCAAGAAAATGGTTCCTTCAACTCTACTCCCTTTTGCCATTTTGGGGCATTTTTTTGTCTTTTATTTTCCTTTTCTAAACACTACATCTTGAAAATATTAAGACTGACTCCCAACTATGAAGTCCTAGTGCCTGATAGAAATAATACTTAGTATCTCACGATATTTAACTGAACTCTTGAAAAGCATTTGGCTTGAGGAAAGGGACTATCTTTTCTAGAGTAAAAACATCCTACCTGGGACAGACCCATTGGTGGCAGGTTCCCAAGGATGATGGGATTACCCTTCTTCATTTCTGGATTTTTGGACCATACCTCAGGCCAAAGGTGTTGAAAAACAGCCTTTGGGAATACACTGGGCTATTTCGTAAAGCCCTTGCAAAGTATGTGACAAAGATGAACCTGCCACACTGAGGGTGCCCAAAAGGATTGGAACTCTGGATTGTCCCTGGGTGGATGACTGACCTGCTTTTTCCTTCAGTCAACTCATAGGGCGATGCAAACGCCCTCCTTTGTAAGAGGTCAAGTGGTGAGCCTTCTGGCCTAAGGCCTAGCATGAATGAAGGAAACAAACATTTGATGAACCAAACTAGGAGGCCCTATCCGGTCTATGGTTCCCCTACTATTCCAATTATCAAGACTCCCAAATTTCCAGCTGGGTTCCCCACAAATATCCCATCTCCTCCCAAGACTACAGAACTTCTACTCCTGAGTCCCTCCTCCCTTGCTGCTGGGTTCCCACTCTTGTCCTTAAATCCTACAGATGCCTCCTGCTCTTCTCTATGCCCGTCCTCATCTTCCCCACCATCCAGGCCCATGGCCCTGCACTCCCATCCCCAGACTCACCCAGGAACAAAACCTCACGGTCCAGTCGGCACTTCAGTTGGCACTACAGGGAGGTGACGGTGAATGTGTCCTCGGGGTGAGGTTCCGCCATGGGGCCTAGGAAGCCGCTCTTGGGGCCCCCACCCAGGCCAGGATGTGCCTGTGGCATAAAGCCTGGATACCTGTAGGCGGTGTCCTGCAGGGGCAGCAGCGAGTCCCTCGGCACGGGGGACAGGGTCAAGTCACTAAGGAGTGGGCAGCCATAGCCAGCAGCGGCTGCAGCAGGGCCACGTGGTGGACCAGGCGGCCGGGCCATCTCTAGTGGCTCCTTGTCGGCCTTGGGCGTGGCTGGTGGGCTAGCCAGGTGAGGGGCACTGAGGCATGCAGCCTCCGTCCTGCCCAGGAAGTCAGCCAACAGCCCTGTACCCACCTTGCCTTCATAGGGTGGGCTACGGGCAGCAGAACCTGGTGGGTACCAATAGGCTGTGCCCTTGCAACTGGGAGAATCATAGTGGGGCTGGCCCAATGGCAGGTCCCGGCAGCTCAGGTGGGCCTGGGCTGCAGCTGCGTGGCTCAGGCTGGCCCCCTGGAGCCCATGCTTGAGCGGTTCACAGGCAGTTAGCTTTGTGGGCGGTGGCCGAAGCTCTTCCTTGAAGCCAAGCGTGGGCGAGCAGGTAGGCGAGTATGCCTTCTGCAGGCCAGCATCAAACACCGTGGGTGGGTGGGCCAGTGGTGGGAAATGCTTGCCATCAAGCTCAGGAGCACCCAGGCTAGGTGAGTCGCAGTGGAAGCCTTGGCCGAAAGTGCCGTCAGAAGGCGTGGATGGGTTCATGGAGTAGGGTCCCATGAAGTCACAGGGATCTCGTTCTCCCACACCAAAGGCTCTTGACTGTGAGGGCAGTGGTGACATACTGCTGTCCCCGCTGTAGTAATCCAGGCCAAGATCTGGACTGTCCTGGAACAGTGGGTTGACTGGCTGTGGCTTGGGGATGAACTTGGCTTTGGCTGCTGCACCACCTCGTTCCTTCTTGGCTGAGCAGGCCCCACCACCCCGACCACCCCGTGGCTGACGGGGCCCGGTGCTCCGTTTGGATGGGTAGCCTGAGGCGGCAGCTGAGGCAGATGTTGAAAAGCCCAGATGTGAGGCCTCGAACAGATCTACCTTCTTCCGCCGTCCGCGGCCAGGCTTGGAGCTGCTCTGGAAGAGGACACTCTGGTTCCAGTTGTAACCGGGGGCAGATGACGCCTCATTCCAGTCCATCATCAGTTTCTCCAGGCTGGACAGGCTTGACTGGCCCTCACTGCTTGAGGCCTCACTGTTGGCACGCCGAAAACCACCACCACCAACTGGCTGATTGAACTGGGTGCTGTCGGAGGACGACTCGGAGAAAGTCTCGGACACAGCTGTCTGCTGCTTCACTTTCTGTGGTGTGTAGTTGGAGATGTCCAGAATCACGTTGGGCTCGCTGACATGGCAGTCAAAAGTGGGATTGTAGAGCTGACTAAAGGCCTCTGAGGCCCAGTCCAGACCTCCATAGCCCTGCCGGAAAGGCCACTGAGAAGCCCCCGCAAACTGCCGACAGTTCTCAGGCGAGGGCTGAAAGGAAGAAGAGGAGGAAGAGGCGGCAGAGGCTGCAGAGGTGGCAGAAGCTGTGGTGCCCTTGGGCACCATGTAGCCGCCGGGCGAGACGGTGCTGGCTCGACTGTCACAGCGCAGGGGTGTGGGAGCTGACCCAGAGAAGGGGGTTCCCTCAGAACTATTAAAGAAAGAGGCCTTGCTGGGTGGCAGGCAAGGGCCCCCAGTTGGTGGTGGGGCATAGCCAGCACTGTGGGCACTGCTGGGTGAGGCAGGGAGGCTGTTGCCACTGCCATAGGCAAAGCTGCAGTCCTTGCTGTTAGCACAGTCCTGGCCCGAAAAGGGCTTAGCCGGGGCAAACACGCTTTGTCCGGCCCCATAGCCACCATACTGGGGAGGGTAGGTGTTGGCAGGTGGGTGGGTCGTAGGAGAGCGGGCCACAGCTGAAGGCGGGGGAGCCAGCTTTGGGAAGGTCTCTGCTGCCCGGCAGTCTGAAGTGGCTGGGGTTATCCCATAGCTCGTTGCCCGTCCTGGAGGGAAGGTCTGGCGAGAGGGAAGACGGTTGGAAGGAGGGGTCCGCCCCAGCCCCACTGTTGCCCACCGCCACTGGGCTGGCCTTAGTTCCCCGGCTGGGGAAGGTGGCCAGGCCCCGCTGGGTAGGCAGGGCACTGGAGGGAGGCCCTGCATAGGTGCCTGATGCCTTCCGGGACTCTGGGCGAGAGGCTGAGAGGGCAAAGTCCAAGAGGTCGGAGGAGTCATCCGAATCAAGGAGCGAGCGAAAATAGCCAGTGAAAAGGTTCTGGCGCTCCTGGCTGAGTTCGGTCTGGCCCGAGGGTGTGCCTGTGCCATAATAGCTGCCACGGCCTGAAGCCCCACTCTCCAGCCCAGTGGAGGCAAAGGCTCGGGCCTCGGTCCCCTGGAACCCGCAGTTTCGGCCAGTTTGCCCACCCGGGTGCCCATGGTGAGGGGCCCAGCCACCACCCTTGTCCCCAGGCCACTCAGTACCCGCCTCCCCAAAGCCTGGGCCACTGGGCACCTGGTCTGGGAACAGAGTCCCATTCTTCCTGGACCGCCTCTTGCGCTTGGGCTTCCCGGTCACAGCGTCCACCTCCCCCCGACCCCGTTTGCGTGGATGCCCCAATTCAGTAAGGCCAGGACCCCCGACCCCAGCAGCTGCCACTGCTACCACCTTCTTTTTCTTGCCAATGCCCTCAAAGAAGTCACTGAAGGAGCATCGGGCTGCCTTGGCTGCGTGGCCCCCACCCCGGCCACCAAAACCACCTGTTTTGCCTCCACGCCGCCGGAAGCCCTGCACACGATGCAGGAAATGGGAGATGCTCTGGGTGTCAGGGGCCTGGTGTACCGATTCAGGCTCACTGGGTGTCCAGCAGCGGGGTGGTGAGCACCGCCCAGCACACTGGCTCTGGCGGTTCAGAAAGGCCAGCTTAGCGAGGACGTCTGAGTACTCGGCCTTACTATCATTGGCGTCCGCTGCATAGGATGGCTGGGGAGATGCCAGCTTTTGCTTCCGCCGCCGTCGTTTCTTCACCTCTGGCATGGCCATGGTGGCTGCTGTCACAGTGGCCGCTTCAGCTGCCACCACTGTTGGCTCCTTGGGCTTGCCGGGACCCAACAGTAGGTTCTTAGGAGGGCGACCACGCTTACGCTTGAGAATAATGGGCATCTCACCTGGTGGGAAGACCACTACCACATTTCGCCCATTGTTCTTCATCTTTAGCAGTGGGGTGGGCTCTGCCGACACACGCAGGCCCAGCTCCTTGCCTTCCACGCTCAGGCTGCTGCTCAAGGATGACACTTTGTAGGTGGTCTTGTTCCGCCGCCCCAACGATACAGGGATCTTAGCCATTTTCACCACCATGCGCCGCACGCCTCTGCACTTGCCTTTGCGGTTAGGGGCTGCTGGGGTCTGGGAAGATTCTGGCTCCAGCTCTGGGATTGGGACTGGGCCTGGCAGAGCAGGAGGTGGTGGAGGCGGTGGTGGCGGGGGTTCAGCCAGGGCAGCTGCCAGCCCTGTAGGCATAGGCAGGGGCAGCAGGCGGCCCTCAGGTCCCATGTCTGCTTTACGCCCCCGGCCAGCTTTTCGCCGGCGACACAGGATCTTTGGCCTATCAGTGCGCCGCAAGGCATACTTGGGGTGGCCCTCAGGCCCAGGGGGGCCATGGGGCGAGCACAAGTCCAGGCGTAAGGGCTCAGCCAGTGGGCAGTGCCCCAGGGGCTGCTGGGGCTCCAGACGGCGACCTGGGACGTCCAGCAACTTGGGCAAGGGGTCAAGTGCCTGGGGGTCGAGCAGCTGGGACTCTAGGGAGTCAGGTAGGGTATCCAGGGCCTGCAGAGCCAGGGTTGGCAGTCCAAGAGGATCAGCAAGAGGTTGTAGGGGTGGCAGCTCCAAAGCTTCCCCAAGTGGCTCTAGTGCCTGTGGGTCCAGGAAGCGGGGTTGGGGGTCCAGGAGCTGAGGCTCTGGCTCTGGCGATGGTGGCTCAAGGGCCTGGGCCTCTAGCAGCTGGGCCTCAGGGCAAGTAAGGGAGGCCAGCTCACTGAGGATATCTGCATCAGCGAGTTCAGAATAATCAGGACCATCTGGCTCAGGCTCTGGGGGCAGACCAGTGGCTGCAGCTGTGGCTCCAGGACTATGGCCTTGGCCAGGCTGGGGACTGTCCCTAGGCTCAGGCTCAGGCTCATAGAGTGGGTGGCCAGGACGCTCTGACTTGGCATGAGGGGTGGCGCGCTCCTCTGGACTGCGGATACTGTTGGCCAAACTGGGTGAGGAGAAGAAGCTGTACTGCAGGTCGCCAGGTGGCGGAGCGGGGGGACGGCTGAGCCGCAGCCCACCACAGTCCAGATGCACACCACTGTGCTGCAGGTCCTGGGAGAGCCGAGTCAGGTCCTTCATGATGTCAATCAGCTGCACCACTGGACGAAGGTTCACACGCCCGTTGTCCCAGTGGCAGCGGGCCTGGGAGATGGGACGAGCTGCCCTCGGGGGCAGCGGGTCGTCCCCCTTGGCAAGGACTGGTGGGCGCCGGGTGCTAGGGTCCCGGCGTGGGGGTGGGCGTGGGTTCTCGGAGAAGGTGTGGGTAGAGAAGGCCTTGTCAGGTGGGCAGGCAGGGGGCCGAGTGGGAAGCAAGGGCCGGGGGGTGGGGGGACCGCCGGGGTAGTACTTGGGCTCCCGGAGGTAGTCAGGAGAGCTGCACACGGCACTGGAAGTCACCACCAGGCCCTGGGGCTTCACACGCATCCTGACCTTGTCCTCCGCGGGCCGCCGGGCGGGGCCGGGGCTGACATGAGGGTGCGAGAAGCCGGGACCAGGACCTGCCAGGAAATGATAGGCAGGAGGACCCTTGCTGAGCATCCAAGTCCTCATCAGGACCCCTGAACCCCTCCCCAAGGTCTCATTCTCCTTACCATGCTCCAGGCCCTGCCCCAAACCCAAGCTGCTTGCAGGTCCCTAGCCTTTCCCAAACCATGTGTGCATAGCAAACCCCTTATGGGCCCCAATGGTTTCTGTAGACAACTAACCCCCTTCTCCACGGGCTACAGGTTTAAAGAAGGCAGGACCAATGCCTTTGACAAGGAGGCCCATCAACAGGGGAAGGTGATCACTCCAGATCAAACTTAAACAAAGTCCTAACATGGGCATGGCACCCCTCCTTCTTGCCCCCATCCCTGGGACTCCAAACCCCAGTCACTCACCCTCGGCTCTGCCGCTTGGGCTGTCACACTGAAGATCTCTGTAGGCAACAAGATAGGCAACAGATCTGAATTCTCCACATGATTTGGTGACTATACTCAACCCACTCCCCTGCTGCCCACTTGCCCAGCTTTCTCCAGGTGCCACCCCACCCACACCAGTGTGCCCACCTGGCTGACCTGGAAGAGAAAGGGCCCCTGTGCCTGGGGGCTCTGCCAGTTGCTGGCTGTCAGCTGGGGATGTTGCAGAGCAACTTCGGCCTGAGCCCAGGCCTCGGGGCGTGGACAGCGCCTGGAAAGGACCATCGCAGCTCAGGTTTAGTGAGCACCTACTGCGCGCCAGGCACTGGGCTGGAAGCTGTCCAGGCATTGCTTCATTTAATTCTTCATACCAATCCTGTGAGGTAGGGGCTATTAATAACCCCATTTTGCAGATGAAGAAATGGAGGCTCAGAGATGAAGTAACACCATTCATTCATATACTCATTATTCATGGAGTGCCTACTTTGTACAGGACTGGGTAGACAAATATTGATCAGATAATTGGTAAGTGATTTAACAACCAGTGGGATAAGAACTGCAAAGAGAAAGTTAAGAGTGCCTGAGGTCAGAGGTCTAGCACTCACCAGGGAGTTGACCATAGAAGTCCATTCTTTGGGGATACTTTCTCTGTTGGCCAATAGAAGGCCACACACTTCATATAGGTTATATCATCTTATCCCCCTGCAAACCTGAGACCAATACAATTCTCCCCATTTCTACAGAAACCATGCTAAGCTCTATGAGGACAAGGATATCTGGCCCCTTTGCTCTACATCTTCCAACATCTAGAACAGCAAGTAGCCCACAGGAATGTTCAAAAAGGTATTTGTTGAATGAATGAATCAATGTGGCACACAGAGCCACATTCCTCATGAAGCTCTTTCTTCCTTCTTTTTTTTTGGCAGTACTGGGGCTTGAACTCAGGGCCTACACCTTGAGCCACTCTACCAGCCCTTTTATTGTGATGGGTAAAGTTTTTGAGTTAGGGTCTTGCAAACTATTTGTCCTGAATGACTTTGAACCTCAATCCTTCTGATCTCTGCCTCTTGAGTGTCTAGGATTACAGGTGTGCCCAGTTTCTTTCTTTCTTTTCTGAGAGAGGGTCTCAATATGTAGCCCAGGCTAGCCTGGAACTCACTTTGCTACCTCAGTGCTGGGATTACAGAGTGTCCCACTATACCTGGCTGCCACGAGGCTCTTTTTCTTCCTTGGAGCCAAAAGTGTGACCCAATAAAGATGCTGACAGACAAAGGGACAGACAAAGATGTGGTAATTCTCTGACCCCCACCCTCTTCCACCCTTATCAGAAAGACTCTCTGAAGCCCCATTCTACTTCTAGCCTGGTCAGGCCCCTGCTACATGCTCTTGGAGCCCTATCTATTTCACCTTCATAGTATTTATCATAACTGTAATCAATTACTTGTGTGACTGGCTATTAGTGTGTCTCCTCTGAGTATGTGGACTCTTCAGGAACAGGGATCACTTCTCTCTTGTTTACCACCATATTCTCTGACCCCAGAGCCTGGACTATGGATGCTACATAAATATTTACGAAGTGACTCCCTGAGCTGGTCAGGGCAGTGCTAGGATTTAGATCCAGGCATGTTTGATTCCCAAGGAAGCCTGAAGACTCAGGATTGGACTGATACCCCAGGAACTAGGATCATGAGTAGCTGAGCAGGCCCTGACTACTCTGAAGGTCACAGAGACTGATGCTGACCATTGTCGAGTGTTTGGTGCTGACCAAGCCCTGGTCCCCCAGGGTCCACCCCTACAGATACACGTGGACTCTCGCTGGCCACCATATTGCTCAATGCCGTCACACCATAGGAAGACTGCAAAGCTGGCTCAGGGATGGGGTGGTGTGGGAGAAGATATTCCTCTGTGACCCATATGACTGCTGAATCTTCACTGCAACCCAGGAGGCCTGCATGGGTTATTATCCTCGAGATGCCGGGGAAACAGGCCCAGAGCCCTTGTGAAACTTGCCTGAAGTCACACAGTTGCTCAGAGGCAGGACTCCTAATTCTGCCCTAAGGCCAAAGCCTCCTTCCACTCCCAGCTCCTGCAACTCTCCTTTGGCCACTTCTGGAAATTCTCCTTCTAAGCTGTGGTCTAATTTCAGGCTGGGAGGAACCTTAAAATTATCTAAGCCGTTGGCTTCCAAACCCTGGGCCTGGGGGAGCTATGTAACATTCCAGATACCCAGGCCCTAGTCCAGGGGAGTCTGACTCACACATCTGAAGGACATCTGGGGATCTGTATTTTTAATCCGCTATCCCAGTAGGTACACTATTCTTCTAGTGCCATCTTATGCCCTCCCACTTTACAGATGAGGAAACTGAGAAGGGAAGAGGGAAAGAGACTTTGCCCAGGGCCACACATGGCATATGAAGAGCCCTTTTATTGCTCATCCAGATGGATCTTCGTTCTGCCCACTGTCCCTTCCCTTTCTGTAGGCCCCAGGCCTCAGCTGCTCCTTATTGTTCCACCTACTGGCTCACACAGGCTTCTGCTCTCTCCCATGCCTGCTTGTGGACCTGTCTCCTTCCTGGTCAGTGCTGGTGCTCTTACAGGGAGAACTGTGTTTAACACCCTCACAAAGGAGGGAAGGAGTTTAGACTCTGGAATCCCCCAGTCCAATTTCCAACAGAATGGTGGATCCCTAGCTCCTGATACCCTCTTTGAGCTACCTACTAGAAGCCACTCTCCACCCTTCCCCTCCCTTGCTGTGGGTGAGGCTCACCAAGCCTTCCCACTCTGGAGACCTCCCACTTGGGGCTGGAGGGTGTGATCCTGGCAGAAGAGACAAACCTCCTCCCCAGTGGTTGCTTCTGTTCCACCCACCCATGAAGACCTTTGGCCACGTCCTTCTTACTGTCCACTGCTTTCTTTTGCAGCCTCCATGATCTGAGGGAAGCAGCTGGCTCCCTTCCCCACCACACTCCGGCAGGCAGCCATTCTCTTGGCCCCCTCCCAAGAGTACCACCTAGTCCTCGTTTGAGAACAAAGTCGAAAGGGTCCTTCTGTCTGCCTGACTGCTTCTGGGTCAGTGTGTCTGAGCTTGCCCACGGGGACACCAGTGGGCTGGGAAAGAGCCCCAACCTGCTGTGCACAGTGCCGGGAAGCGCCAGCCCACATCCTTGAGTCCCTGGCCCCACCCTCCCTGCTGTGGCTGTGACCACCCCACCCCTTCCCCAGGCCTCCCCTCCTCCCCCACCCACAGCCTCCCCAGGGGAGCCAGGCTGCCAGCCCCAGCTCTCACTTCCGGCCTCATGACCCTCTCCAGCCTGCATGCACTCTCCCTCCCACTTCCCTCCCAACCCTGTTTGAAGGCCCAGGGATGTCTCCCTCTGCAAGCAGCACTGAGACCTTCCCCCATTACCTCCCTTCTCCTCTGTGACCTTACCTCCCAGGACCAGCCCCGGCCACCAGGAATTAGGCATCTTCCTCTCGGTCTCCTTCTCTTCAACCACTATCTGCCCACCCCACCTGCAGGTCTTCCAACCTGATTCCAGCCCCAAATCACAACAAAAGTAGCAATGATGGTAATAATCATGGCATTACTCACTTATTTGTCATTTAAATATAGGCACAGAGAGGTTAATGCATTCCCTGAAGGACAAACAGCCATGTCATTCAATTTTGCTGGAGTCTGGATTTAGTTTTATTGAGTTCCTCTAAACCAAACTATCCAGAGGTTCAGCCTCCTTCCAGCCTGCCTCCTCCAACTGTCCTAGTCCCAACTATCTGTTCTAATTTTTGACTTCTATTTTCCTCTCAGCTTCTAGTCACCATGACTTCCCACCTCAGTCATCCAGATGCACTACCTTCCCTCACCACTAGGTGTCCCCTTGGAGCCACTGATGCCCCCAAGGGGAGCTGGTCCTGCCCCGCCCCCGGGGCCATCACGCTACACCCCTCCCCAATACAGCACAGCACAGCACTCCCCACCCCATTCTACCCTACCCCCAACCACACAGAGCTCCTTTGTGCAGCCCTTGCCCACCCCCTTCCTGTCCAGAGTGGGGCACCTGGCAAGCAGGTCTGTCCCTGAACCGCCCCCTGCCAGCCCCCTCCCCTGGGTGCCAGGTGTGCAGGCACCACTGCCAGCTCTCACTGGACCCAAGGGTCACCCTGCCAGCAGCCCTCCCTTCCTCCATTCGAGGTCACCCAGGGACCGTGCTTCCCGCCCTGCTCCGCCCCTATCCCCTCCTGCCCTTGGCCCTTCCAGACTCCTGTCCTTGTCTTTCCTTCTGTCTCCCAGAGGACTCCCTCCTCCAGCCCCACCAGGCCTTCCTCCCACCTCTCACCCCCCCGCCCACCTCCATCCCCAGAGAGCCTGCTTCTGCCCCGCCCCTCCCACCCGCCCAGGTCTGAAGAACTCCTCCTCCTGGAAAGTCACTGCTAGAAAGGAAGTGACTTCAGTGATTTGGCCACAAGGCTGGGCACTGCTGAGCCCAGCTCTGCTCAAGGCTTGCCCGGCCCATCTCCAAAGCACAAACGGAGTCATGTGCACATGCCATCCCACTGTGCACCTAGAACCCTGAGCACACACCCTGCCACCCCAGGTCTCTACACAACTCCAGTGTCCTCTAAGCACTCTGTGTACATACACCACCCAACTGGCCCACACAAAACTCCCTTGAGCCCACACCTGCCCAGAAGCCAACACACACCCACGCACACTCACCACTCCACTATATCACATACAAAGTCCTTGACCATTCCCTGCAAGCCTAGTCCACTTACATAACTCTTGTATACACAACCCTGGGCACCTAAGGACAGAGCCCTACATGCTCATCTGCTTGTACACAAGCTGGAGTGCAGGAATATTTAGTCAGGTACACCCAGCATTGCATCCTCCCACAGCCCCATCTCCCCACCCTTTCCATCCCAGGAGGCCCCACCCCCAGACCTCAGGCCCCAGGAATGCTCCTTTGGAAGTTGGGTGGGTCCCTAGCAGGCTGAGCTCTAGGAAGCTTCCTGGAGCCCCAGGCTTCATGTGTCAGTTCAGGGAGTTGCCTCTACAGGGCAGGGCGGCCTCACCTGGGCCAGGAGTAGAGGGGCAGGTCTTGCTACTGCCCCAGCCCTTTCCCAGTTCTCTGGTATCCAAGCTCCTCACCTTAGCCTCCCAGCTGTCTGCCTCCACAGACTCTGGTACAGAGGTGTCCTGAGGGGTCAGATGCACACGTCAGGCACTCTGGTTTCCACCCACCTCTGCCCTGAGTCCTGCTCATTGATTGTCACAACCCCTTTCTCTCAGTTTTCTCAGGTCATCAGGGCTAGAAGGCAGGAATCTGTATATCCATAAGCCTCAATTCCCCTTTCTGGATAATGGGAAGCTTGAGTAATCTGGGTTAATATTCTTTTTCTTTTTTTTTTTTTTTTTTGGTGGGACTGGGCTTTAAACTCAGAGCTTCTCACTTGTAAAGAAGGCACTCTACCACTTGAGCCACACCTCCAGTCCATTTTCCTCTGGTTATTTTGGAGTGGGGTCTCCCAAACTATTTGTCTGGGCTGGCCTTGAACCTCTATCCTCCCGACCTCAGCCTCCCAAGTAGTTGGGATTACAGGTATGAGTCATGGGCGCCCAGCTATATAATATCCCTTGATTATTGACTTAAAGAGCCTCTATTTGACCTAAGCTGGGAGGGGATCCCTGTTGGACTGGCCCAGGACCAGGCCTGGCTTCCTCACACAGTTACCTGGGCAGGCTGTGCAGAGGCTTGGCTCAGCAGAAAAGGCCTGTCTCCACCAGCGTCTCCAGGGTGGTCTCCACAGAGGCCTGAGTGCTGCCCCTCACCTGGGGCCCTCTACACACACTCAGCTGGGTGGTGTCTGGTGTCTGGGCCAATGGGTAGACAATCAGGCAAGCTCCCATCTGTGAAAGAAAAACACAGCACACCAGGCATAAGCACAGATGCAGGGTGAGCCAGTCAGGGCGCAAGGTGCAGAGGAACATTGAACCAGGAGGCTGTCTAGAGAGGGTCCAATCCAACTCCAACTGTAACCATGGGGAAGTTGTAAGCCTGTCCTCTGAAAGTCCAGGCTCCTGTTGGGAACCATGTGCATGGACACACACACAATGATGGAAGGAACCTTCCTTTGGGGAGTCTGATAGGCCTTGGCTCAACTCTTTAAGCCAGTAACCTTTCAGGTGCTCTGCTTTCTCATCCTTAGAATGAGAAGACTTACATCTTATGAACGGGGAGAAGCATTCTGGGGAAGCTATGCATGCTAAGAGCTTGTTTACTGCACAGGTGTGAGTGGCTGTTCTGAGCTGGGCAGTGTGGATGCAGATTTCCAAGAGGGTGTGTATGCAGCTGGTACTTGCCTGTCTCCAGCAGCAACTGGTTATATCTCTTGTTTTCTTAATAACCATGGCCTTCCTCACCAATCCCTGCTTCCTGACCATTTGTATGCCTCCCTGAAGTTTATACTTGAGCCCAGAGGGGGTCTAGGAACCAGGCCTTGTGAACTGTCTATAGGTTCTGGTTGCCTGGGAATATGGATGTGTGTGATAAAAGATTTTTCCTATGTAAATGCATGGCTGTGAATATTCAGTTATCTGGGTAAATACACCTGTATGTGGTTTTCTGGCTCTACTTAGCTTGTCTGATTGCATCTCTATATTTCTGTATGGATGTGTGGGTACATGTGTGGGGGTTGGGGATGCAGCTCAATGGTAGACCACTTGCCTAGCAGGCCCAAGGCCTTAGGTTTGATCCCCAGCACTGAAAAAAAAAGAAGTGTACATGTCTGGAACCGTGTGTTTGCTCAGTTGTAGTGGGTGTGTCAGGTGTGTGTGTGTGTGTGTGCTAGGACAAGTGTGTGCCCAGGATTAGTACCTTCGCTTACACACGAGGTATATGCACTATTTGTATTTCCATTCTATTCAGTTTTGTGTATAGATCTAGCTGAGCCTCTGCTTGTACTATGAGAACAGAGGTATAAGCGCCTATGCCTGTGTGTGACAGGTGTGCCCAGCTGTGGTCAGGCTGTGAGCGTGCCTACAATTGTACACTCTGACTGACTGCATCTCACTATGTCAGGAGCCAAACTGGCTCCTGCTTGTCTCAGAGCTCTTTGTATGTGTGTTTGGCAGGGGGGTGCAGGCAGGCGGCTGATCCTCTGCTGTCCCTGTAGGTTTCCAATCTTGAAGCCTGTGACTGCGGGCACTGGTGTCACTGCAGATCAGCATTGCCTCCCTCCTACCTCTGCCTTTCTGTGGGTTTTCAGGGTCATGGCATGACAGCATGATTGGTCAAGGTGTCCCTGTGGGTCTGTTTTTCCCAGGGGGTCAGTATGTGCTTTGTGGGTGTGTCTGTGTACCTCATGCATCTCTGTGCCTGTTGGTGGGTCCTTGTGCTATGCCATTGTAAGTCTATGCCAATGTAATTGTGTGTCAGTGTCAACATATGTGAGAGGGTCAGCACAAGGTTGCCTCAGTGTCTGTGTGGTACCTTTGTGTAACTGATATGCATGCATGCACAAGAGAGACCCTTTGTGAGACAGTGTGTGTGTGTCTGTGTCACTATGTATATATGTGCCTTCTTCCCTCCTGCCTATCTCCTGCTAGTTCTCTCTCTCTCTCTCTCTCTCTCTCTCTCTCTCTCTCTCTCTGTAGGAGCCAGACAACTCCCCAAGCCTGGATTAGGGACAATTTATCCACAGGCAGAGAAGAATTCCAACCTGCCAGAGCCTCCCTACTCTGATCTGTCCACCCCCCCTTCCTGTGGTTGGGTGGGCACAGAAATGCAGCCTAGCAGCTCCCAAGCTGTTGGGGAGCCCCCACCTTTTCAGCTCCCCAGAGGCCCAGGAGGGTGGAAAAGATGGAAATCTGGGTGGCCCCAGAGCCCTCTGGTGGGGGTGGACTGGCTGCCCCCCATCCAGGCCTCCATGGCTCAGCTCATCTTGGCCTTGTTCTCCTACATATGGTGGCAGTGGGGAGGGGGGAGTCTGCATGGGGGTCTCTCTGGCTCCAGGGGCAACAGGGACCTAAGGAGCAGCTCCCCCCTGCCCTTCCACAGCCTGATATTCCCCAACTGATAAATGTTAGTCCCCCTCCATGTAAATGGGGAACTTGCAACCATGCCCACTCAGGCTGGGGAGGCAGAGGGCAGAGTGGTGGGGGGAATGTGGCAAGGGGGAGCAGGGCTGGGCTGGGACTAAGGCTCCCTTCACGGTGCTCCAGGCACAAGGCAGAATCACATGTTTCCCATTAGCTGCTCTGGCCTCCTTGTACAGGGGGTGTTGGCTGGGGGAGATTTGTTCTGGTTGCAGACACCAGCCGAGACCACACAAGAGAGAGAGAGAGCGCACGAGGGAGGGAAAGAGAGAGAGAGAGAGAGAGAGAGAGAGTAAGCTAGCAAGAAAGCCAGAGGGAGAGAAGAGATTGAGAGGAGAAGAGAGGAGAGGAGAGTCAAAGAGACAGAGAGAGATACACGGAGGAAGAGAAACAAGTACAAAGGAACATGAAAGACAGAAACTATGAGATAGGCACATACAAACTCAAAACCAGAAGAACAGAGGTGAGTTATGAGAGAGGCAAACAGAGACAGTGGGGTGCAGGGGTGGGGTGGGGTGAGACCCAGTCAGAGGCTTTAGAGCTGGCACAAGTCAGGCAAAGAATGAGTCCAGGCCAAGAAGGACTGAGAGGGAGAGAGGAAGAGAGGAGAGAGGCGCAGGGGAAGAGAGCCAACAGAGATGGCAGTGGAGAGGGACAAACAAGGACCAGGCTGTTCAAAGGAGTGTGGAGAGGATAGTCAGGTCAAGACAGGGTGGGCCAGGGCAGGGCTAGGTGAGGGCTGTGTGGGCAGGGGAGTGGACACACTGGGCAGGCGGGGGCAGCCAGCGCCTGGGCCTCCCGCCTGCTGACCCTCGAGCCTCGGAGATAACAGGCCCGAATAGTGCTGACTTGCGGTTCAGAAATCCAATATCCTCCGCGGCGCACTAATCGACTACCTGAGCTCCTGGCCCGCGCTGAGCTGCCCCGATTAATCCTGCAGCTCCACAGCCTTAATTAGTTTAACAGTTTCGGGGACAGAGGAGGCAGGGAATAGGGTCCCCAACCCATGGGAACACTGCCCCTCATGTAAACTCTGTCAGGTGCCTCACCTCCTCAGTCACACAACCTGCCTTGGCTTCAGAGACCTGTTTCCACGCCATTTAAAAAACACAAGCCTTCCTCCCAGGGCACAGTCCCAAGCGCTGTCACCTAAGTCAGAAGGTACAGTAGATCACTCAGGACTGAGACCATAAGCCTCTGGCCAGCCCTTTAAGGTCCTGCGGTCTGTATGGGGAGGCCCTGCCAACTGCGAGCCCCGTACCACTGGATAACATGTTTTCCTTAGTGGGAGGGACGAACTCCTGAGTTACTGACAACTTCTCAGCAGCATGAGATAATCACATGTCACTCCCCACAACAACAAGAGAGGGACACATGGTGACATCTCTCTCACATACAAAACAGTCAGAAAGACAGGTGTAGAGTCAGTGACAACCCTCATCACAGGAGGAGTGAAGCATATAACCTGTCGCTTTCTTGCAAGTGTGAGATGGTCACATCTGACACCCCCGGACAGTATGAGACAGGTATCCACTTGCCACCCAGGCACCCCACACCCACTGACAGGATGTAGGATGCACAGGATGTGGGACACACAAAGCCAAGCAAAACAGTCACTGCCCCCAACATGGGACAGCCTCTTCTACCTGAGGGGGTAATGGGTGTGGAGAGCCCCTTCAGTGCCACACTGTAAGGCAGGCACACAACCTCACCCCTTCCTTGAATCCTCTCTCCAGACTTCAGGATAGGCATGCCACCTCCCAGACTGCTTCGGACAGGTGACAGCCCACCCACACCCCTCCCCCATCCCAGTCGCCAGCCTGGGTGGTGTGTCCTCCGCCTGCAGAGGCGTCACAGCTCACAGGGCATGAATGTCACCCCGGCACTGCCAGAGTCGGGCACAGCTACACGTTGCCCCAGCGACAAACACCACTGGCCCCAGGAGGAGGTGGAGGCACACACAGCTCTGGGTGTGACCTTGCTCCCTGGACACCAGGAAGGGAGGTGCTGTGTCCTCCTGCCTGCGGAACCCAGCAGCCAGGCACCCTGGTGCTGGGAGAGGAGTGCTGGGGAAGAAGCTGTCTGGCACACAGACAACCTGGAAATGCCACCTCCCCAAGATCCCACCCCACTGCATTTCAAATTCAACGTGGTTATATATCTAGGGAGAGGGCAGAATGGGTAGTGGAGGGAGGGCTGTCCCTGGGGCTGTTTCTGTCAGACTGCTTAGACTGCCGGGGGAACAGGGGAAGAGACCCTCAGGGGTTGCTGTCACCATGCACTCAGGAGGGGTGGGATAATGACCCCCCCTTCTGCTGCAAAGGGAACCCTTCTTTCTAACAGCCCTTCTCTAAACTTCAGGCCACAAAGCTGGGGACAAGGAAGCCAAAATCCAGGGGCATGACTCACCCGGGGAAAAGGCCTGGCCTGCTGGCCAGAATTGGTGAGGGAGGCCAGAAGCCAAGAGGCCCAGGTTCAAGTCTGAGCTTCTCCTAGGCCAAGCTGGGTGACCTTGGAGCAGTGGCTCAGTCTTTTTGGCCTCAGAGAGAGGGAAGGGGTGGTGGCCAAGGAAGTGCCAGGGTCACAAGCTAAAGCTGGGGACTAGATCCTGGGAAGGCCAGTGGGTTCCACTCCCCAATCTGCTCTGCTATTTCCTCCCAAGGAGCCTCATCGTCCTGTGTTTCAGTCTCCTCGTCTGTGCAGCAGGCCTCAGGAAAACACGCAGCGTAAAGTTGAATGGGAAGCTTTTTACTGGAGACAGGGAGAACTGGACGAAGTGGGTAGGAGACTGGCCCGGCCTTCCCAGCAGATAA